CAGTTATCATATTGGTTATGATACTGATGACTGTATGAAATTATTTTCTCATTCTCTTCAAAATTCAATTTCGAATGAATGTCAATCGTTTTGTACAACGCTTTCTCATTTATATATTCACATAAGATATGCATATTTTCTTGAACAACTTATTGAACATATACCAGCTATAGAAAAATTATCGGTCAAATTTAATAGAACATTAGATATTGAACCACGCTCTATGTCATTTATTGAAACATTGCGTCAAGCAAATGGAAATTTGTTTAATAAAGTAAAGAATCTTTTTACAAACAATATTTACTGATAATATTTATTCTTTCCTTGTGTAAGACAGATTTAGTGCTAATTATCCGCTAGATTATTGAAGAAAATTGTTTGAAGTTTGGTATAATGATAGAAGAGACTTTTTCGAAACTTCTACAATTTTTCTTTACCTAAACTCATATGTTAATTTAGAAAACTCTTATTCATATTCAGTATCATTCTCTGATATAATTATGACAAGGTTGTCTTTCTTATAAAATTAATCAGTTTTAACTTCAAGAATGACGTATAATGTGTCTTCTTTCCATAGATGCAGAATCTATCCGTATGCACGTACGATAATTTGGTGAAATTTTTTATTTTTGTGAAAATTTCTCTATCATTGGTGAGGAAAAACTATTTACTTTAGTGGTGGATTCAGTACCTTGCTTCTTTCATTAAAGTATCAATATTGAGATAGTGTTAGTAACTTTCGCCGTATAATCATTTCTATAATTTGTAAAGTTTTCAGAAATTTTCATGAATAATTTTTAAATAGTTTAAGCCATTTAAAAGCTTTTTTTATATTATTATAGCATGTTCTTTGAAGAGTTTTATTCGATATAACGGATGATCCAAAAGTGCCTGAAAAATATCGCTTCATTTTTCATCAGCCACACCATAACATGTTTTAGAAAAATCAAAAAATACCCGTTCAGAATCTACATCAAAAGCGCTATCTAACTGTATGTTCAAACAACTTCTAGAATCTCTTGTCTTTGAGTAACCGCCGTGTCCTTAGATGACCTTAAAATGTACTACATCTCTAAAAAGCAATTTACAATGACTGCAGCAGAAGGAACCGATCTTTAAGCAATGGCTTTAGTATTTTCTACCAAGTTTGTAGAGAATTAAACGATGAATGGATTTATTTTGAACATATAATTAATAGAAATAGATTTTTTTTTTGTTTTATGCGTCGTTTTATTGTTACACTTCGAAGTGCTTACAATGAAGATAAGAGTAGAAGCAGAAGAAAAGAAAAAGAAACCAAAAGTGATTGGAAAAACAGGGAGATATAACTAAATGGGAAGAGGAAGATGATATTGATTGAATAATATAATGAAAGAGCGAAAAAAAAGAAGAAAAGGAACAGAAAAAAGAGTTTGATATGAGAATAACGAATGAGAGAGCATGTTTGACCATTGGTATATAATAGTCCAATCAATAGTTTAGAATTAAAATTAGAGAAAGAGATGTATGATTGGTGAATAAAAGATAAATAGTAATGGAGATATTAGTGGAGTCATGTGAGAAGAAGTATGTTTATTTTCATGACTGAATAAAAATAGATATTCATAATTAAACATCATCTACTAATAGAAAATCATTTTTCATTTCATTTTTATTTACTAAATAAAACATGTTTTTATATCGGAACGTCATTACAGGAAAAAGAATTAATCGTTCATTTGTATAAGAAAAAAAGAAAAGATATTGATAATATATTCAATTGAAATTTTTCAAGATTAAAAGAGACAATCTAGAAAGTCTAGAAGATAAACAAGTCAATAAATGAAATAGAACACAATATTGATCGTATACAATGTAATCTATAAGACTATGAGAGAATTTTTTAGAAAAAAGAAAATATGACATAGATGAGAATGTTGTTAAATAGAAAATTTTAGATAGTTTAATCGAATGAACAAAAAAGACCTGAAAAATATTATTTATCATTAACTTTAAAATCTTATTTAGATAAAAATTCTTTAACTCATATATTCAAAAATAAAATTTCATTATTCTTTATCACCCTTATCTCCTAACGATGATGATGATGATGATCAAAGAAATCAAATAAAACAAGATGAATTAAAAATGGAATTAGATTTTATCGAACAATTACTACGAAAAACAAAACGTCAACTATACAAAAGACTTAAACATTTGCAAAGACATGAGCAATTAACGTTTTATTTTATTGATTTGTTTTGTTTTTCTTTTTTGATTGGTTATTTTTCAACATATAATTAATAATATATCAATACTTATATATACTGAAGATAAGTTTTAATTAAAGGAAAAGAGATATTCATTTAAGTTATATTTTTAATACTAATAGTGGTCGATTAGTAAGTTATATGTTACTTGAAAAAAATCTTCTAGTCTCAAGTAAATTTTCAATAAGGAAGCCAAACTCAATTTGTAATCTTAATATCTGATGTTGATCATGTAAATCATCTTGTTGTATTCATGACTGATCGAATATCATTAACAGAAAATTTTGGCAGTGATGGCAATTATTATGTTATATTTAAACAATATCTATTTCTTATTGATACTTTTTTGTTCGTTTTTATTTTATTTGAATTGATCAAGTATAAAAGAACTATCATAGATTTATTTCGGAAAAATAAAAAATTCAAAATCAAATGTAATTTTTAAAATCGATAAAATAAAAGATTTTCTTTTCAAAGTATTATTTTTTTTTTTTCTTTAAGATAAATTCTTTCTGGTTTTTTTTTTCTATATTGGTTCATCATTATTATCAACACAATTTAGCGATTTCAACATCAAATAACTATTCTAAATGATGGTTTATTAAGTATAAGTATTGAACCTTTAGTATAATTTGAACCACAAGTTCAACGACATGATATAACACCATGAAGAGTTACATCAAATCTTGAATTTCTATCAAAAATGTTTAATAATTTTGTTTATTATATAACATTATTTTTTCAAAATATTTCTCGAATATCCGAACAAATTCTTCCATTAAGTATTATTCAAACATAGTATAATAATTTTCAACGATATATTACAGAAAATGTCAATTTTTGGAAACAAAATTAATATTTTTTGCTAGAGAAAAACTTTAAGAAAAAAAGGAAAACATTGTTTTCCTTTTTTTTTCCTGTTTTTGATTTGTTTTTGTTTTTTCCTTTTAATTAAATAAAAAAAAAGCTAAATGTCTTTTTCATTGATTTTAGATCTAAATTATCTTTAAAAAGGTAACATACAGATTCACAACCAATAGCAAAACAAAACTATATATCAAGAAAATGTGTTGCAACTAATAAAATAATAGCAGAAAAAGATCATGCCGCTGTTCAATTGGATATAGCTGATGAAGTTGATGAACAGACAGGAAGAATTACAAGAAAAACAAGTACATATACTTTAACTGATTCAGTTCGAATGATGCTTGTAGCTGATGATTCAATTGCACGATTAGTTACAAGAGATGAATTTATTAATAATGGATATTTTTTTAAAGATACTAAATAAAAATCAATTTTAGTAAGTATCTATTTAAAAAAAAAGACAAAAACCTCTTTCTCAGTTTTCGATTTTCTTTTTTTGGTGATCTTTAGTTTTTTTGTTATACAACAGTGAGGGAGAGAGAGAGAATGTTTTTTTCTTTATTTCACTCGTCCGATGCAATCAATGGAGGAAAATAACTCCATTTCTTTCTCTAAATTAGTAAAGAAAAAAAAGAGAACAAAAATACAACTGTTTGTTTTCGAACGTGTGGATGTATATTGTTACTTCTCTTTTGTGTGTTATGCGTACTAGAAACATCATTACATATACGATAAGTAGAAGAAATAAGAGAGAAAGTGAATACACGGATACGTCCGCCGCCGCCATCCTCTTTTTCTCTCTCTGCTATCTGTCTCTTCATTTTGTTAGTTAAATAGGCAGTGGTTGGAAGCAAAACATTTACCTGACATCATCATCATCATAACACATACATAAGAAATCATCTATCGAAACGAAGTATGATTTATCTATTTATAATAATAATAATCTCTCATAGGTCTAACCGATGTATTCAGCATGCTACGAATGAGGCATTCGAGACAACTTAGCCATTAGTGACTTGTCCAGGGTCATTCCATGGAAGGTGCTACTAGGGTTTGAACATAGTACCTTGTGGATACGTGTCGAACAACGTAACCACTCAACCATGGCGGCTGATTTATCTATTTACAAAAAAAAAAAAAAAACAACTATCTTGTTTATTTATTTATTTATAGATATTTAATAGAAATGTCTGCATCAAATCAAACAATTGAACCATATTATATGCAATTTTTACGTTGTGCTAAGTGCTCACGTGGTTTTGAATATGAAAATCAATCATATCATCCAATAACATTACCAACACATGATGCTACAATATGTAAACAATGTATTAGTGTTGGAACAGATCATACATCAATTGATCAATTACCAACAAATTATCCATTATTAATTATTCTTTATGATCCATCAAAAGTAAATATTTAAATTAATTATTAAACACTAAAAAAAATTTTTCCTTTTTTTTTGTTTTTTTGTATTTAAATATAGTTACCTAAAGATCATGAAGAACGTTATGGTCAATGCCCATTTTATATGAAACTTGATGATGAAACAAAAACATGTTTTAATACTGTAGAAAAAGGTCTTAGTGATATAGCAATTATAATTAAACCAATACGTAAGAAGAAAAAACAAAAAGTCTATGTCATTTTTTTTTTTATATGACTATTTTTTTTAGTTAAAAGTGAAGATTATGAAAACGTATATAGTCGTTCACTGTTACGAAAAATATTTGGTTTATTTAATAGTCAATATATTAATCGTGAAGGTCGTTTAAAAATACTTAAAACAATACGTAGTCTTGGTGAACATATATGTATTGATCTTTATGTTAGTAATCAAATTCCTCAACAATTAAAGAATAAGGCTTGGTCAATTGTTGGTTTTACAAGTCGTAAATTTTATGAACCAGGTTTGATTTTTTTTTTTCAAATTATTTTTTTATCTTAATAAATTGTTGAAATTTAGCTATGCAAGAAAAAGTGTTACAGAATATTGTGGTATTTTTTCAAAGTCATGAAGCATCACGCACTGCACATGTTATCGAATTTGTGAAAAAAAATATACAAGAAAATGATGGAGCTGCTATTGCACATATGATTGATATACTCAGTGGTAAATCTTGTTTTATAGTAAATATTCAGCGATTATAAAAAGAAATGATTCTAACATAACCTTTTGTTTTTTTATTAGAAAACACGAATGAAAAACTATTCATTAATAGAACTTCAACAACAATATAAAATTAAGGAACATCTTCGTGATGCATATGATGAAAAAATAATTCAAATAGCGTTTAATGAAGGTAAATATTTTTTTTTTCTCAAGTTAAATTTATTCAATGTTTTTTATATATTAAAGGTATGTTGTTATCAGCTGGATTCTGGTCTTTATTACTTTATGGTAATGATACACAATATGAGTTGCAAATGGAGAAAATTATCGATAAGTTGTCGATTTCGACAACAGATTTATTTGACCGATCGATTAAACAATTTAGAGATGTTGCATTAGGTAGTACATCTCCATTTAAACCTTTATTAAAATTCGAAAAATATTTTATACAGTTAGCTCAAATTGGTGATTATAAACAAGAACATTTGAATGCGTCGATATTTGTACCTCCATTAGAGGCTTTGACAGAACTTGTAGATGGTTTAATTCATCATTAAACTCAAAAGAGTCAAACTTTCTGATTGTTGTTTTTTTTTCTCTTTCTTTATTTTATTGTTTCTTTTACATGATAATCAATAAAAACATTTGATATTCTATGACATCATGAAAATGATGGTATAGCCAAACTGTTTCTTTTGTTAATTTTTGTTTAAAAAAAAACATAGAATGTGATTTTTTTATCGTTTATAGTCATAGAAGTATTTTATTTTTCTGCTTTTTTTTCCTCAGTTTGATAATCTTTTTTCAATCAAATAACTTAGAAGGTTTCTTAAATATTCAAAATTCAGTTTCGCCTTTTTTTTTCTTCTACTGGATAATAACTATGAACATGAGTATAATAGATTATTCGAGTATTTTCGTTTATTTGCTAATCAACCATAGGAAAAAAATCTAATGAGAAAAATATTAGTGAAACTATAGATAAATTGCAACCTACAAGATCTACTAGTATTTTGTTCCATCAACAGTTTAATCAAAATGACCAAATAGATCATGATCAATAAAAAACACAGTACGAAATAGATTTCTAGTAAAACATGACCGGAAATGAAAGCATTTGGAACTTGTCGTGACACATCTTTTTTGTTTTTTTGATTTGATACCATCGACAAAACGAATAAAAGTCAAACGAAAGCGGAATGCCATTCTCATTCTATTGCTTTCTTTTTTCTGCTTGAATAATCAAGTTCTACAGTTTTTCAATAAAATATCACTTTCTCATGAAGTATAACATCAGACACATATAGAAACTCTATTTTAAAACTACGAAAATGTTTTTATGATTTGGTTTTTCTCTCTCTCTCTCTCTCTCTCTCTCTCTATATATATATATATATATATATATATATATATATATATATGAGTGAATTGCAACTTTTTGGTAAAATTGAAATTTTAGCTGTATTTCGCTAATAACTTTTTCTGTGCTGAACCGATTTAGACCAATTTTTTATATGTTATTGATCTTTGAGTGTCCCACTGCTACAGAAAATGTCAGTTCTCTAACTCATACATCTGCTGAGTTATCAGCCCTTTACTGCCACAAATTCTTATTTTACAGAAAGATGTATTAAGAAAAGGATATTTTTTATATATAAGGAAAAAGAGAAAAAATATAATGAATAGTCTATTTTGTACAGCTTGAAATGCTCTATCAAATGGTATATCTTTTATATGTTTTTTCTTTTCTTTTCACACCCATTCGCCCCAAATATTTAATTATACACACTTTGTTATTTTTGTGTAGAACGACCTTATCGTTTAATTTACTTTGTCTGCGTGAAAGTGGAAGAGAAGCGAAGATAGGCAAAAGAAAGACAACTGAAATAGTAACAAAATGATAAAAAAAAGATTCTTCTAAATGAGTTTTTTTGGATGAAAACAAATCCATTATTTTCTAAAAATTCGAGTTTCACTCACTTTGTAGAACGACTTTTTGAAAAGTATATTGTAAATAACTGCTGAACGGATTGGTTGTTTTCGCTCAAATTTTTACCGAAGATGTAGTTCTAAAAGTTACATAAGCACTCAAAAATTCAGCGGTCTATCTCATATTGTTCCTGAGAAATCTACAATATACGATAAAATGTAGAACGACCTTTTTTTTAAAAAGTGTAGAACGACTTTTTGAAATTTACTTTATAAATAACTTCTGAATGGTTCATTTGTTTTCGTTCAAATTTTTATTGTAGACATATTTCTCAGAGTTCTATACCCAGTAAAAAATTCAGCCCCCAATCTCTTATCATGCTTGAGATATTTACATTACATTATGAGCTGTAGAAGGACATTTTTTATTAAAACAACGGTTTTTATAGTACATTTACATTAACATATATCGTATCTCAGCTAATATGTGGTAAAGTGTTGGGAAACTTTTGCTGTGTAATATAGGCATAGAGTCTAATAAAAGGCACTGCTCAGACATTGTTTAATGGAGCAAATCGTAAGTTTAATCGTTGTTTTTTTTTTGTCTAGTTTCTTCTTTTAATTATCATTGAAGGTGAACGAGATGAATTTGATAAACAAAATGAATATGTTCAAAATCTTTATCAACAATTACAAAATGATTTTACAAAATTAAAACAACAATCATCATTTATTGATGATAATCGTCATTATGATTTATTATCAATTGAAAAACATTTAGAACAATTTAAACAATTATTAAAACGTCTTGATGAAACAAATAATAATTTAAAAGAATTAACACGTTTACAACGTTTATTAACTAGTAAAGGACATCGAATTGATTTTCGTACAGGTGGTGAATTAAATGCTAATTTAAAAAATCTTGAAGGACAAATTTATAATGAAATTGAAAGAATGGAAAGAGCTTTACAAAGAGAAACTGATTTTTATCATTTAGAAAAATAACTTGAATCATATTTACAAATTTCATCTGAACATTTAAAATCCGCTCAATATCAACAAGATAAAGGAATTGCTTATCAGGTTAGATTTTTTTTTGTTTTGACAGGTTATGTCACTTTAACTAATAAAAAAAAATCGAACTTTTTTTTTGCAAAGTATTTCTTTGAATTTAATGATTAGTTTTTTAGGCTATTTTCGATCGTTTACAACAAAATGAACAAGGATTAAATAAATTAATTCAACTTGCTGAACGTCTTAAATCTGAACTATCACGTTCACAATATGAACAATTACAACAAAAAAATTGAACAACGTCAAGAATATCTTCAAACACTTATAAAAACATGTCAACAAGCACGTGGTAAACATGAACATAAAGTTAAAAGACAAAATAAACTTAATGAAGAATTAATTGCTATTAATGATTGATTTAAAAGACTAATACAAGAATTAACACAACCAATTGATCTTAATTTATCATTAAATAATCTTAATGATATTCAAGATTCAATGGCAGTCAGTTTTTTTTTTTTGTATAAAACTGTAATTAAATATCAAATTATTTAGCAACTTAATGTATCGATTGATCAACGTTTATTAAGACTTGATCAAGCACTTCGTGATGAACCAAATTTAATTAGTTCAAATGATAAAGAAATTCGTGAAAGATTAAATACAGTTGAAGAACTTAAACATCAAGTTAAAGTAAATGATTATTAAATATTAATAAAGAACCAGTGGTGGATTTAGAGGAGGAGAACACTGAAGATGATTGTCTCTTTATTCCAAAATATCTTTGAATTTTTCTCAGTAGAAAACATCCAAAAATAAGCCGATACGACCTGTAATAGACTTCAAAACACACTTCGCGCAACCTTGATCGTTCTCTTTCCCGAAATTCTAGATCTGCCTCTGGAAAGGACCGTCTTATGACAGAGTATATCTTCAAACCAACCTATATCAAATTTTGTTCAAAGTTACTTCAATAGAGTTTTGTCTTGTCTTCAATCATGTACATCTAACAATACTGATAAAGACTTTCCTCATACGCAAAACCTTACCATTTTTACTAGCTTCTGTCATTTTTGGCTTTCCATAGTATTTTAAATTCTTCGATACTGCTCCTGAAGACAAAAGGTCAATTTTTTGATTCCTATAAGAGTAGAAAAGTATATAAGTTTTGTGATAAATATTTCTTGAATGAAAAAGTTTCTATCTATTAATAATAAGTCCATCATACTCCATCATTTGACATATATGGATCTTTCAAAAATAGGAAAATATTTTCACTTTCGAACTCCTGGAAGGAAGGTATGGGAACATGCAAAATTTTTAATTCTCATAAGAGACTGAACATATATTGAATATCATAGAGCTCCATAGTCTAATCACACGCGGCTACTCAGAATCTAAATTCGTAAGGAACAAAATAAAATAAAAACTATTCTTCGTAATTATCCATTCCCGTATTTCCCTTCAAGGGTTCAACAATGAAAATTTTTTACCCATTTTCGAAAGATATGAAAGTTGCACAGTCAGTCACCTTTACTTTTAGGAGTGATATCAAAGAATTTAAAATATGATCAAAACTAAAAGTTACACAAGATAGAGGTATATCACTTCTCAGAATATAAAAACTTGATGAAAAAGTTATTTTCTATACACCATTTGATGCAGCACAAATTGTTCTGCACAACGGTTCAAATGAACGATGGCTATCTTATCCGACAGGATCCTTTATAATTTTTTTTTCTTAATAGAATCATCTAAATAAACGACGTACTATACTTGATGATATTCATCAACGTATGACTCAATATCTTAAATTAACTGCAGATATTAAAACAGCTATTTGATATGAATATTCTAAAAGTTTTAATTCAGTTGATAAATTCTTTTGTTACTTTCTTCTTTTTTTTAGTGATGCTGATTTTAAATTAGCACCATTTTTTCATGGATATGATCGTAATCGACTTGATGAACATGATCGTGAACTACACGTATGTTGTTATTGTTCTACTGTAGGAATTTTAATATATTTTATCTTTGTATTTAGTCTCTTGAACAAATATGTCATGAACAAACAAATCGTTTAGCTGAAGCACAGAAATTAGTTGATATATTTCGACCACATTTACGAAATAATGCAAAAGAATTATGTGATAGTCAATTAAGAAATTTTCATCAAACCATTGAAGATCTTGGTAATAAATAGAGATACACAGAGAATTATTTGATTAAAAGAAAAAAAAAAAACCATCTTTTTAGAAACTCGTATTCATCAACGTCGTAAAGAATTAGATGAAATTCGTCAAAAATCGAATAGATTTAATTCAAGTCTTATTCGTTTACAATCTGATACAGATCGACTTTTACATATGATTGAAAAAGCACCAGATGTAAAAAAAAAAAACAAATGAAAAAAAAAAACTATTTTAATCATTATTTTCTGTATTATAGAGTGCAGAAACACTTATTTCAGAAATTGATTCAACATTTTCAGCTTTACAATATCTTGGACGTGATTTAAAAAAATCATTAGATATATCAAGTTCATCAGATATTGATTGAGAATTAAAAGATATGGCTAGTTCAGTAGAAACTATTCGAGATAGTCTTGATCGAGCAAAAAGATCTTATGAAGTAGATTTTGAAAAATCTTTTTTTTTGTTTTGAAAATAAAAAATTTAAAAATTTTCTATTTAGGAAAATGAAACTATTCGAAATCGTATTGAAAAAATATTAAATAAAGTCAAAACTTTTACAAATCGTAAACGACAAGAATTACATTAAAGTATCGACAGTGGTTATGGTAATATCGATTTAACTAGACGATCAATAGACATGAAAGTATATGATTCTATTGTTTAACAAACAATTCGAAACGTTTTTTTTTTCGTAAAAATTATCTAGAAAAGTTTTTTAAACATTACTTTTTCCCAAGAAGAAAAAACAGCAGGTATCAATTTCGGATGGTTTCGCTGTAAGAAAATATTCAACTAATTTCATTTCTTGTATAATTTCCATATTCTCTTTTAACAAAATATTGTTTGCAATAGAGCCCGCCGTAACTCGATCAGCTCTAATTTGCAACATATAGAACATATTTTAATTCTTTCTTTTTTTTTTTAAAGAGTTTTATCAAAGATGTTGATTTGGAAACATCACATTTATCTGAAGTGAATGATTTAATATTAACATTAACTGAAAGAAAATGTGATCAACAAATAATTCGTTCATTAGAACAAAAAACAAGAAGATATTTTATAAGATCTTCTAAAGTAATTTAAATAAACAAATATCTTTTTTATTATTAATTTTTTTTTTATTATTTAAATCTTAGTTTAAAAAATGAAACAACAAAAACAATTGAAAATCTTGATTAACAAGTTCAAGAACAAGAAAAATTACGTCAAAATGCTTGTACAATTTTATGAATAATTCAACGTACGAAAGTTCAACTTATTGAATTACGTCCAACAATAAATGATGAAACTGATCAAAAACTTAAAGTTTGTTTTTTTTTGAAATTCAAAATCAATTCTTCTTTTTTTTTTTTAATAGAAAATTGATGATGATTTAACAACAAATTATGAATTATTTGAACAATCATTAAATAATTATAAACGTGTATATGGAAATATATCGGATGATTGAGATAAAATGATTACACGTATTATTGAAGATATGACTGAAGTAAAAGCACGTTTTAATGAAAAAGTATCAGAATTAAATGCTTATAATACAATACGTGATGAATATGAAAATCTTATGGAAAATACATTAAAAATAATTCAAATAATTGAAACTAAAACACAACAATCATATAGTATTGATCTTCGACAAAATTTAGATTTATTAAAAGTATAATATAAGAAATCTTTAAAAAAATAAATTAAAGTCTTCTTGTTTGTTTTCTTTTAAAGGATTTAACAAATGAAATGCAAACACATCGTTCATTAATCGATCGTTTACAATTACTTTCATCAACATTATCATCACAATTAATTGATAAAAATGAACGTGAACGTGTAAGACGTCGTCTTAATGAAATAATACGTCGATGGACACAACTTGAACAAGATTTAATGAGTGAAGAAGAAAATATGGAAGAAATGAAAAATCTTACAGAATTATATCATTATATTAATATAAATTGTGAACAATGGTTAAAACAAACACGAATATTAATTAATGATTTAACTAATAGAAGAAATGTTGAAACATTTGATCAACTTATTCCAAAAGGAAAAAATACTTTATTTGAATATCAAACTTCTTTAGAACATTTACAACGATTAAGAAATAGACTTAATCGATTAGTTCAAACAAATCGAACACCAGAAGCTTCACAAAAAGTATATAAAAAACAATCAATAGATTGTTTTTATGACACAATAATCATTAGCAATTTTCAGAGAAAAACATCATATAGATACACATTAAAATTTACCTGAGATAAAGTTATTTTCATTAATACAAAAAAAAAGTTACTTTAAAATTTTTATCGCAGATCGTGACAAGCAAAAACAAATACAATATTGCAGCTAATAAATAGTAGTATCCTAGATAGATATGTACAGGACAGGATTGAAATCGATTGAGAAATGGTAAACCGGTCCGGTCCGGCCGGTTGGAATCACATGTCCAACCAGTGAAAATTGACTAAAAAACCGGTGGAAAAATGTCGAATGTTTTTTTGAAAACCGATTTTTAGAAAAATGGCTCCAAATATGAAATAGTTTAAGGCGCATGTAAGAGACACTCATCATAATGAACCTTTTTAAAGAGAACCTCAGAGAAAAACGATTAATATAGAATATGTTTTGAGCACTTTTTTACGCATTCTGACAGAAAAAACATGTGACACCTTAATTTTCATGGTCAAAAACAGGGTTAATAAAGAAGATTTTTCAAAACTTTCAACCAGTGGAATTCCGGTCTCTACCGGCCCGGGCCGGCCCGGTTTCAACGCTGGTGCAGGACCAAGGTTTTTCGGTCCTGGTAGTTTCTTTTTTATTAGTCTCGATCCCGATCTAGAGAAAACTATTCTAGAATTTATTCGTATCACATCTAAAACAAAAATCTCAACTAGCATTCTCCTATTGAACTCATATTTTGCTCATAAATAGAAATCGTAGTATGAATAAGAATTCGAAAAGAGTACGTGCTATTATCTTCAAGTTATGCTCATTTTACTGAAATCTATTACTGTGAAAAATTTCAGTTGGTAATTACTTGTCACTGTCGTAATATTCTGCATAAGGCTGCATATTCTTCAGTAAAACAAGCATAACTCATGAAGAAAGATCTAATGAAACGAACTTTCTTTTTTTTTTTTTGTCCGGTTTTTATTTACACTAAATATCTATTTGATATATTTCAGCTTAATGAAGTTGATCGACTTTTAAATGAAATGACAACTTATCGTGAAAATCTTGAACAACGTTTAGATTTAAGTCAAAAAATGCATTTTCAATTAAATGAATTTAATAAACAATATTTATTTTATGAACAATGGCTTGAAAATATTCAACGAACACATGATACAATCTCTGAACAAACATTAATAACTGATGAAAAATTACAACGTTATCATGATATACAAATTGAATTAGATAAACGAAAACAAATTATAAATGCACTAATACATGATTATCCACAAATTGTTCAATTTATATCAATACCAATACAACAATTAATTGGAAATATTGAACGAATAAAAACAAATGTAACTCGAAAACAAGAAGTAAATTCTGAAAAAAAATGAAATTATGTTAAAGTAATTTGATTTTTTTTGTTTTTTTTTTTAATTTAAAGGAATATGAAAATCAAAATCAACAACAAAAAGATTATCGTAGTCGTATTGAATTCTTATTTGAATGGCTTAAACAAACACATAAATATGAACCATTAAGTGATAAACGTGATTTAGATTCACTTCAATGAGAACATGCACGTTTAATTGAAAAACGTCAACTTATTGATGAAAAATCACATGATATTGATTTATTATTACGAAATATCAATAGGTTAGAAGGATAATATTGTGATTTCTTAGGTTAAGAACTACGCATTATTTCCAATGGAAAAATGGTAGAAACTTGCGAACAGGAATTTAAGCTCAAGAAAAAAGTGCTATATACGATTATCATTGGATTTCTACCATTGTTCTGGAGTTTTTCGACTGGAAATTCATGGATTCTGAGCGCTGGAATTATTAATTAAGGTTAGAAAACTTAATTACATTTTATTTTTTTTTTCTTTTTAGTTCAAATTTACCAAATGATACTTTACAAAGATTACATCAAGAAATTGAACATTTAAAAGAACGTTTTGCTGAAACAATTATAGAACTTGAAACTCGAACAACATTTATTAATAAAACAATCAAAGTAAGATAATGACAAAAAAAAAATTTATTAGTAATGCATGTGTAGAATTTCATACTTCTTATACTATTGAAATTTTTCAAAAATTAGATTCTTTCAATAAAAAAATAGACACACGCATGATAATCTATCTACATTAGACAAAAACATTAAACTTATATGAATATATAAAAGTTATATCTCAAATAGTAAAAATACTTTCATTAGTTAATTATTGAAATATTTTCTTCTATTATCTTATTTTTTCTTGATTTCTTATTATTAACCTAAATGCATGTATATCATGTGTTTTATAATAGGATGTAGATGAACAACAACGTAAACATCGTACTTATCAAGAATTACTTAATAAACTTTCTTCACTTGTACAGCATGATTATCAAACACCTGGCAGAGTGAGCACATGAATTTTTTTGTTTTTTCTATTTTAAATAATTATTTTAAAAAAAATCAAATATTTTATTATATTTCAGTCAATTGAAGATGCATTAAGATCACTTGATGAACAAATGATTAAATTTGAAAGTCAAAATGAAGAACGAGAACGATGTAAACATCAACGTGAACGTCAATGGCATTTATTTATGAATGAAATAAATTTATTACAAGATAAATTAAATACATTTAAACAACGAAAAATTAATACACAAGATTCAATTGAAGAACAACTTCATTTTATATGAGTAAGATTTATTTCATATTAATTTTTTAGTCTTTTGTTTTTAAATTATTCTATAGATGCAAAATCAAGAATTAGATCAATATCAAGATGAATTATCACATTTAAAACAACATGGACAAACTATGTGTGTTGAAGATGATAATTCTATGCCATTACCATCTGAAATTCATCTTCTTCAATCAATGATTACCTTTCTAAAAAGAACAAGTATTTATTTCTTTTTGTTAAATATTAAAAAAAAAATTTTTTTTATTAGTTTGATCAACATCGTCAATATTTACTTCAAGCTGAACGTTCTCATGATATTTATCTTAATGAATGTAAATTATATGAAGATATATTTAATTTAACAATGAAACGTCTTAGTCGTTCTATTCAAGTTGCATCTACAAGTGATTAATATGCACGACAATTATCAGAATATAAAATTTATAATGAATAAATCGATGAAAAACGTCGTCAATTAAATATTTTATATAATAAATTAGATCATGATACACGTACACGTTAATTTAAAACATCATCATGATTTAGAAAAACGTTCAAATGATTTACAAGATAAAATTATTGAACAAACAATATATTATGAATATTTATTACGTATATGAAGAGAATATGAAACAAGATTTGATGATATTAGACATCAAATAGATGAAATACAAAAACAATTACCATTAACAAAACGATTATTACATTTTGAACAAATTCAAGCAGCTTTTGTTCTTTATAAGGTTCAAAAATTTTTTCTTTTTGTAAAAAGAAAATATGATCTAAAATGAGTGTTGAAGTATATAGGCAAGTCTTTTGAATAAACAATTTCGTTCATGTTAGATGAATAAGTGAGATTGACGAAGAAAGGAAACACTATGTTACTAACAGTTTTTACATAAAATACTGATAGAAAACAAAAAAAACATATTTCAATAAAAGGAGGTAATAAACATTAAATAACTACTCTCTGAAACTCTTACAGAAACATTTCGAACTTTTCGTTACCAAAATTCGGATTTATAGCTTTTTGATCTAATAATCCCAGTGGTAAAAATACGGATCCTCGGAATTTTGCTAATAAGACTTTCGTCATTGGTGAAAATTTTATTCACGAAATTTAGGTCACCCCTTCCCATAGACCATGACAAACGTAATCATAGGAACATCACGAACCATGACAAATACTACGTAGGTAGAGATCATCATAGATTGTGACAGACGTCGTTCATATACAATGCAAGACCGTATAGATATAACGTCTTGTTATAATATATGAACTACTACCATATTGAATTTCTGAAGAAAATCGATTGAATAAAATAATCCTCTTGTGATGAGGAATAGCAGCTACATTGTGTTTTAGATTTTAATCTTGCATGAATTGTACGAACAGCTTTTTGTTTAAATAACCTTGTCTTTTTTTATAGGATTTAAGACAACGTTTAGTTGTTATTGAACTAGAATTATTACATTTAAATGATGAAATACAAAATCTTTGTAAAGAATTAAATGTTGTTTCATTAGAAAATGATATTGTTAATGTAAAAGATAATTTTATTAGAATATCAAATGATATTCGAGAAAAATTTCATAGGTAAAATTAATTTTTTTTTTTTGTTCAATTAGTTTTTATTATTCTCTCAAAATATTTCTTTTATTTAATCATAAAAGTGCAACTGTTATTGTTAATGATATAAAACGTAATTTAGCTAATCTTGAAGATCTATTAAGTCAATGTTCAATTGAATCACGAACACGATATGATGGAGATATAACTGAAATGAAAGATCAGTTAGAACGAATGATGGTAAAAATAATTTGTTGATTTTGTTTTTTTTTCTTAATTAATTATTTTTAGGAAGTGGAAAAACGTCTTGAAAATATTGGAGATGTTTATTTGAACACAGAAGCATTAATTAAATGTTTAGCAACTTATTATTTATATGATTTACAATCAACTGAAGCAGCATTAGAAAGTTTTCATCGTAAATGGACATCACTTAAAGTAAAATAATAATAATAATTATTATTATTATTATGTTTTTTGTTCATTATAGAGAGATATTTTACGAAGTGAACAAATTCTTCATCAAAATATTATTAATAATTTACCATCAAGACAAGCTTGTAAAGAAATAATTTTATTTATTGATGCAATTAAACGTTTATTGGATGATGATCATGGTGCACCTATTAATAATAGAGAGAAACTTTACAAAAATTACTTAAACGATATCGAGTAAATTAATCTTGTCTTATTCATTTTTGTTTTCGTAAATAAACACTTACATAATTGAATGAAGCATAAATCGATCATGATAAAAGTTTGGTGACTTTGTTTTGCATATACCTTCGTCAATATGTTTTATGTTAAGATATCTTCGTCTAAAGAAAAAAAATCTATGTTGACCTTCTAGCTCTTTTACCTGATAGCAGGATTTTTGGCGACTACTGTGCTACTCAATTAGATTGTATTAAGTTGTTGATATTTGAGCAGGAATCAGTGATTATTTCTGTTTGATGGTTTGTTACCAAATCTCAATTGATATCTTTTTTTTGTTGCAACGTCAACTTAAGTATATGCTGTAAATGTATGATGTAGCTATCTGTGCAACAAACTCACTGTATATATTTGAGTTACATTGATAGAAACTCTCTTTCTTTTCGATGTTGTGTTATAACTTGACAAAACTTCTTATATTTACACTTAGAATAGATGAAAACTTTCTGTTTTTCAAGACTCACTCTACTACCGCTTTATTACAAATATTTCCTCCAACAATGAATGAACTATAACTCGAACAGTTTCCTTGATGGAAAGCGAGCGGTCAGAAAAATTTAGTTCTGTTTTGGAATCGACATTTTAGTAAGACAAATAAATAATATATATTATCAATTTGATTTGGTGATAAACGTGTGTACCTTTGAATAAATGTCAACACAGATGAACTAAATAATCTTTCGCCGAATCCAGTAGTCGCTGGCATAGCATCTACTCTCCTATCTACTATTGATAATAATCAGATATTACGACCGATTTCATTACTAGACCAGAACTTCATTCAATCACGATCAATGAGGTAATTTAGATGTCGTATTCTGCATATGCAGAACACGTGTCCTGTGCGTTCTCTGATAGTAATAGACTACCGTGGTTGAGTGGCTATGTTGTTCGACACACATTCAGCAGGTACTGCATTCAAACCTTAATATCATCAGACATGGAATGATCCTGAACAAGTCACCAACCACTCTTTGTCTCGTATCACCCGTCCGATAGCATGCTGACTATGTTGTGTGACATATTCCTGCTCTTGTGGTCAATTAGTATGTATGGGCAGCCCAAGCAATTGAGTGCAAGAACTTTGCGTGAAACTAGCTTTCTGTCCAAAGCTACAGCTAGCTTTAGTCGTGAAGAATATATAGGACTACTGAATTTGGCACGATGCAGCATTTCATACTGTAAACTAACCGAATGGCAAGAGTATTCTTCCTTCCTGATAGTAACAAGAGTAACATATTCAAAATTTTCTAATACGAAGAGAATCTCAAATTGCAAGCAAATTCGACAATCATCGTTAAATATAAATTGACGAGATACGATTCGTTTGATTTGATAAAAATTTCATTGATGTCGTTGTTTTTCTATTCTATTCTGTGAATTTCTATTTTGGAAATATATTATATTTGTTTTATATAGGATATGCGTGTAGACGTACTCAATTGCCAAATGACAATTGATTTTCTCAATGAATCATTACAACAAGAAGGAAATATAGATGTAACAAATATTGATTATATGGAAAAAATCAAACAAATTAATATTGATTGGATAAGAATAAAATCATTAATATCAGCACGTATTGATGTAAGAATAAAAAAATTTTCCTAATAATATTTTAATTCTTCTTTATTAATAGACTTTCGAACAATTAAATGATCAATTTAATGAATTTGATCAAACAGTTCGTACATTATCTGATTGGGTTCAAGAACAAACATCTGATCTTGAATTTATGCGTTCAAGAAATATGGAAGTTAGTGTTAAAAATAATTTACGAAAATGCGATGTAAATTATTTTCTCGTTTTTTTTTCTCGTATTTGAATTGTTTAAATAATTTTTTTGTTTGTTTTTGCTTTTCATTTTAATAGGAAATTAAATATCAATTAACAACTAAACAACAAATTCGAACATCATTTAAAATCATATAGGAATCGAATATCATCAACATCAACAACATTTCATATATCTGATCAAGATGGTACAATAAAAAATTTACGTCATATGCTTGATCATTTATCACCATCAATTGAACAATTAAAATTAAAATCAAAATCAATTTTATCTGATTGGCAAGAATATAATCGTGTTTTACTTCAAATAGAAAAAATTATACGTGAACCTGAAGCTGGTATTGATCGTCTTCAAACAAGTGCAATCAATGTTGAAACTTATGAAATAAGTACAAGAAAAATTCAGGTTATAATTATATGGTCGATGGATTTTTTTTCTACCATTATCAAAACTAATGATAAATAGGAGATCATTGATAAATTTGTATAAAAAAAGCCTATTTTATACTATTCTTGATATCAATATATAAGGTAGGTCACTGTTTTTTGAATAACTTTCGATAGGAATATCATAGAGATCTGTGCTTTTTATTACCATTCAAGAGAGAAGACTCGAGCCCATAGAAGTATGTCGAAATTCCATTAGTCAGCAATTGATCAATCAGGTTAGTTCACAGTGGAGATTTTTGAAAACGATATTCACAAGTTATCATACTTATGATATAATCAATTGACAGGGAAAATTCTTCGCTTTTGATTGACACAAGGCTGACATACCTAGGATGTTTCGTTCGAGAGTTATAAGGCTTTTTCTGAGGCCTATGATCACCTGGAAAAGCCACTAGACAGGAATAATTCACAGTGCTGAGTCGAATGGTGATATCTGGTTTTAGGTTCGAATTGATTGGACACTATTATATTTCGGAAATGTCGACTTCTTTGTGACATATGATGGCTGATTGTGAAATTTCAGAAACATTGAAATAACAGTGTCCGATCAATTTGAACCTAAACACAAAATATTACTATTCGACTCAGCACGGTGAATGATCCCTGTCTAGCGACTTCTTCAGATGATCACAGGTCTCAGAAAAAGCCTTATTACAGTCGAACGAAACACACTAGGAATGTCGACCTTGGATAGATCAAAAGAGAAGAATTTTTTCTATCAATTGATTATATCATAAGTGCGATCACTTCAGAATATCGTCTTCAAAAATCTTGAACAAGAACTCATTTGATTGACCAATTACTGACCAATCAAATTTCGATATTCTTCGGTACCCTCGAGTTTTCTCTTTTGAATGGTGAAAACCACAGGTCTCTAGGATGTTTCTATCGAAAGTTATTCAAAAAAACATCAACTTGTCTTGTATTTTGGCGTTAATAATAATTCAGATTTAGTTGATTTGAAAACACATGTTGACTATATTTTAACAAATAGGAAAAAGATCTTAAAATGAAACAAAATGTGCAATGTTTATCTTGGGAAAAATCTGTAAATGTCATGTGGCATCTCTTCTACGTTGTAAGCCGGGTTAAACACTGAATCTCTTTCTACAGAATCTAAAACAAAACTATCTACGAGTCTCTTATTTTACACACTCAAATAAATTAGTAAATCGTTTACAAGCGGTAAAAAGCTCTGAAAGAAATCACTGACTTGAATTTTTATAATGCTGATGTTAACATTGATTTTGCCAACTGATAAACGCAGAAACACTCGACATCAAAATGGTCAGCTGTAATGATTTCTATTCAATAATTAGATGAATATAGACCACATATGATTGTCTCGACGACATGTTTTTTTTTTTAAGAATAACTCATGAATACTACAAAAACAAGTAGAATATCTATCTACATATAGCTATAACAATAAGTATCGAGGAGTACTATGTTATCAGAACATCTATAACAGATAATAAATTTCTTTTTTTCTGTCTTTATGAAAATTTTATATGAAAAGTATCTTTGATTTAACCTATATTGAATATATTTTAGGAGCATTTACAAATCATGGAATTACATCGACATGTTCTCGATCAAATTGTTTCTCAAGATCGTCAATTATCCAGTCAATGTGATGGACAAACTTCATTAAAAATTAATCAAATAACACATCGTATTCAACAACAATGGACAAATGTTGAACAACGTTTACAAGAAATTATACGACCATCAAGAGAAATAGTTGATAATTGGAGACAATTTAATAGTTCATATCTTCATTTACTTGATCGACTTGGTGAACTTGAAGCTCGATGGTATACAATTCAAAGAGAAATATTTACATCAGATATAGAATCACTTTTAGACAAAACAAAAGTAAGTATATAAGAAATTTTTGCAGATATATCTCAACACAATCGTAACTACTAAAAACCCTGATTATTGTTAATATTATAAGAGTCTCTTAAGAACAGTTTTTGGAAGTGAAATATTTGTCATATAAATATACATTTTTTTCTTAAAAATTGCTCTATATAACCTAAGTAACTTGAATTGTTTTCTACTTTTTTGACTGCTGTTGTATTTAATTTTTAGGATTTTCAACAACGTCTTCAACAACTTGATAATGAAATAACAAGATTATATGAACGAGCTCAAAAATTAGCCAATCATTTACCTGCTATAGTTGCTAAAAAAATTGATACACAATATTCTATTATTAAAAATCAATATTTAGAATTATGTACATTTCATGATATACTTCAAAGTGATTGTAATGAATTAAAACAACGTGAAAAAATCTATTTAGATTATTTAAATGAATTAATATAAATAATTAATCAAATTCAAATTGATTATAAATCTCAACAATTAACTGATTAAAATGAAATAAATAATTAAAAACAACTTCATGAATTTCATACATTACTTTTATCAAAACATGATTTAATTGAACATTTAAATTCAAATGAATTTATTTTATATTTTAAACGAGCTAAACATTTACATGAAATTATGATTGAATATACACATACAATTGAATTAATTAAAAATCGTATAAAACAACTTGAAATAAATCAATATAATAAATTTAATTTTGATAAACGTTGTCAAAAATGGAATGATTATATACAAGCTCTTGAACAAAATTTAGCAATTATATAATTAAATTTACATACAAATTATCAAGGTTTATTAGAAATTGATATAAATTTAACAAATATAATTAATGATTTTAATCAACGACAACAAGAATTAATACAATTAATTAATGAAGGTAAACAATTAATTGAACAAAATTTAATTATTGATCAACATACATTTACTAAACTTGAACAACGTTGGCAATTAATTATAAAAACAATTTTAAATAAACAACAAGATATTAAAAATATTATTAAATTATGGTTATCATATCAAAATTATTTAGAAAATTATTATCGTTTACTTAAAAATAAATATGAATTTGAACAAGAACAATTACGATCACCAACAATTAATTTAATTAATCAAATTAAACAAGGAACTTATTTAAATTCATTATAAAATGAAGAATTAAAAAATTTATTAGAAAAAATTTATGAAATAAATCGACGACTTATAACATATTCTGATATTAAAACAAAAATAATATTAGAAAAAGAATGGAATGATTTACAAAGATCAGCTAATAAAATTAATATTAATATTAAACAAAGATCTGAAATACTTATTACGGTAGTCATTTTTATTTAATTCAATTGAATTTTTATTGATTTTAATTAATTCATAATATTCATATATCATTTTTGTTACCTAAATATTGTTCTATTCTAGTATCGAAAAAATCTTCGAAAGGAGAAGGTAATCAGTATAGATTAATGATCGCATCAATATTCGAGATTAGAAAATACAACAAAACAAAAACAAAAAAAGAAAACATCATTATCAATTATTTTGCTCATTTATTTTCAGTTCATATATATAAATACAATATTTCTTGATAGATAATATCAACGTTTGTGCATGTTTATTGATTTGCTCTTATTCTTCGAAAGATGCATGATACTTGTTAACTTTAACATGGATTCTGCTCAATCTTTTATTCCTGCTCATCTGCTTATCATAGGTTGTTTTTTTTAGATAGAAAGTTTTTCCAGTTAAAGAAAGAAAAAAAACGAACAAATTTGAAAATTCCCTTTTTTGTTTTTTTCTTATATTTGTAATAAAATCATCTTTTTTTTTAATTTTTGATAGTTATTGGTTCGTTATAATGAACTTGATCATGCATTGGATGATGTAAGTATTTCAATAAAATCAATTCGTACACTTCAACAACAACCAACAGATGAACTAAATCAATTTATTTTACAATGTCAAGTAAATAAAATTTCATGTATAATAAAAGTTAAAAATAATAAATAAATTTATTTAGAGTAAAGATCGTGAACTTACACAACATCGACATGAATTACAACGTTTTTCGACAAACAATAACAGAAGTAATTCTATTTATATTATTCAAATATATATTATTTAAAAACAAAAAAATGTTAGATATCTCCTGAACTACATCCTGATGATATAGATCAATTAATGCAAAAATTGAAGTAATAAAACCAAAAAATTCATATTTTTATTATTGATCAATTCTTTCTTTTTTTTTTGTTCTAGTGTACTTGAAATTCAATGGACTGATGCTGAACGTATTATAAGAACATTAATTGATAATTTAACAAAAAAACGTTCAGAATATGATGATTTTGAAAATAAATGTAAACGTCTTATTGAATGGTTTGAACATTTTCTTAATACTGAAATCAATCATCGTATTGATGGTTTAACACTTGAAGCAAGTCTTGATATATTAAAAACTGAAATACGAAATTTAATTAGTGATAAACGACGATCTGTTAATGATTTAAGTATAGCAGCACGTCTTTTACAAACAGATATAACTGATCAATTACAATTACAAACATTAAAACAACAAATTGATCGATTAGAACAACAGAAGAACATGTTGAAAAACGGTTTGTTTTATTCTCGTTTAAAAAACAAATATTAATGTTTTCATTTTGTTATTGTTATTTTTAGAATTAAAAAGACTGAAATAGTTCTTAAAATGTTTCATGATTTTGAACAAGGTTTAGAAAATCTTCGTTCATGGATGGATACTATTGAAACAAATTTACAAAAATCATTATCAATAAATACATTAAATGAAAATGAATTACGTGCTCATCAACAATCTATTATTGTATGTAAAAAAAAGACTCTACCGGGTGTGATGATCACCTTTGAATTGAAAAGTCACCTATATCATTTTGTAGAGCAGTTCGCAATGCATTCAATCGTATATAGAAGATCACATTTTCACTAAAGAATTTTCTATAGAATCCACCAACTAGTATACGAACTCTTGGTGAAAATGTAATTTTCTATACACTACTGTACATCTCGTGAATTGCTCTACACAATGATAAAGATAGCAAATCCGTTAGCGTCAAACAAACTAAACAAAAATATTTTTGAAATTTTTAGGCAATCGAAGCAGATATTGAAAAACATACTACTATTGTTAGTAGTGTTCTAGCACTTGGTCATAATTTATTAAGTGAAATTGATCTTCGTTCACGAAATATTAATTCAATACCACGAACAATTCAATCAATTGAACAACGTTGGACATCATTGAAAGATTTAATACGAAAAAGAAAACTTGAGTAAAGAATTTATTCATTTTAATAAAATAAAATATTTCATAAATGATAGATTGGATACACAACATGTATCATGGAAAAATGTTGAAGATGCAATAAAACGTGCATCAAAAATGATTACTGATCATGAACGATTTCTTAATGAAGTTAAAAGAACATGTGGACAAGGTTTACAAGGTGTTAAAAATGAATACAAAACTCTTGAGGTTTGAGATTTCAAAAATTTCTTTTTTTTTTTCTAACATTTTCTTATTTATTTAAATTTTTAAGAATTTTAAACGAACATTAGATAATGATGAAAAAGATATTCAACAAATTACAGATAATTATTCAGAAATTATTCGAAATCATCCAACAGCAGATTCTACAGGAGAAATTCGTTCAAAAATTAAAGAAATTAATACTCGTTGGGAAATATTAATTGGAACAGTACATGAAACAATGAAAAATGTATTTAACAAAAAAAAAGAAAATTCAATTTCATGTTTTTTTTATTTTTATTATTATTTTAGCTTAAATATATGTTAAGTGTACATGGTGATTTTCAATTAACACAAGATTCATTAGCACTTTGGTTAACTGATTTAGATTTACTTTTAACTAATCTTGAACATTTATCAGAAGCACCATCAAATGAAAAAATTCGACAATTAGATGTATTATTTAATTTTATTGTCTTTATTAAAATATTATTTTCATTTTAAGGATATGGATCGAGAAATTCAAGAAAAACAAACTAAAATTGAATATGCTCGAACATGTGCTAATTATTTACTTAGTAAAACAATTGATGCAAGAGGTTTAACAATTAATATGAATGAATTAACAAAATTTTGTCAACAATTAAGAGATTTGACAAAACGTATTAAAAAACTTAAACAAAAATTAATCAATTCAAGTGATGTAAGAAATAAAGTTAATGGAAGATATTAGATAGTTTATATATTTTCTTAAATTTTTAGCATCATTTCGATTTAATTACTTCTGCTCGTTCTTCACCACCTCATCAAACATTTTTCTCTACATCATCAACACATAAACGTTTAGCTTCACCAACATTATCAAGTAGAATTTTAATTTTATTGTTTTATTATTTTTTTTTTTTTATTATTTTCATTCATAGGATCTCGTTCACCTCAACGTTATTTTCGTTTACGAGATCGATTTTTTCGTTCATATGATCAAATAGAATTGGGTGATCAATATCAACGTGCTCAGGAACTTTTATCTGATTTTGAAGATATTCTCGTTCAAATAAATGGTGATTTTCTTGCCAAAGAAGAAAGATTTCGTTCTGAAACATCAATTAGTGTTCATGTTGAAGATTTACCTATTGAATTTACTTATGTAAAAGAATATTATTTTTTTCGTTTTAAATAAAATAAAATGAAAATTCTAAATAATTCTATTTAGACTCGAATATTAACAACAAAACGTCGAAAGATTAAAGCATTACGTGAAATAATTCAAGAAATTGAACAAGAATTTGGTCATTTATTAGTTGATAATCTTAATAATGATCCAGTTGTTGTTAGTAAGAATGATATAAAAATCAATTGATTTTAATTCAATAAATTTTTAAATAGATATTATGGACAAATGGAATCGTTTACAAAGATTAGCTCATGATAAAGATGAACATTTAAAAGAAAATCGCCTAAAATGGAAACATTTTAAACGACAATTAGAAGATCTTGAACAAGCAGCTGAATGATTTACAACTCTAGATGATTAATGTAAATAAAATAACACTATTTTTTTTTGTGTTTCACATTTTAATTTCATCACGATTAAGTAAACAACTTTTTTTTAGTACCTCAAACTGTTTATTCAAAAGCAGATGCACATCGTGATCAAGTTCAACGATTAGGTTTCATATAAAAACAAATAAATTCTTTTTTTTTGTTACATATTATTTGAATATATTTTAGATGAATTTCAAACACTTTTTAAATCAACAATGGATCTAGCTGATCAATTTAGTGATGATACAAGTTAATGGTTATTGATTGATCATCGTCTTCAATCAATTAAAGAAAATTTTGAATTTTTATTTCCTAGCAAAAACCGTGAACATCGAGAAATCAAAGTAGATATTTTAAATATTTTGTTTTTTTTCGAATAATATATTTTCTTTTTTTTTTTTGTTTTTTAAATAGACAAATTTTATTCAAGCAGAAGATATAAAACATGCAATGTTAGATATCAATTTACAATTAGATCATCTTGAATCATTAAGTCATTCATTAGAACCTGTTGATGAAAGAGAAATAAATATAAGTATTTATCGTAGAAAACTTCATCGTTTTATTCCTATTCATGATGATCTTGAAATACTTTATCAACGTTTAATTAATATAAATGATCGTTTAAAATGTCTTTTATCTGGTGATCAATTACGTATAACAAATGATTTAAAATTAATGTTTGATCGTTTTAATTTAATAAAACGAATTGTTAAAATTTATCTTGAACGTTTAGAAAAATGATTAGCTACAAATGATTTATATGAAAATTTTTCATCAATAAATCATTCACCAATTAGAACATCAAATAGCAATTTTCAAGTAAAAAAAAAGTATTTTATTAGATTTATTATTATTCTTTTTGTTTTTGTTTAGCGTGTCTATCAATAATTATTTATTGTCTTTATTTATTTCAATTAACAGTGAACATTTGGTTTTGTTTCGTATCGATTTTTATTCTTGAAAAAACATTTTGCTAGTTATCAGAGTTTTATCATTATAACATTCTATGGTGTCAATTTTGTCTTTTTACGTTCTTCCATCTTTTTTTTTTTTTTACTCTTACATAAGCATGCTTTTCTTTTATGTATACGAATATATAATAGTTTTGAAAAAAATCAACAGCGAAATCATTAGTTTATTTGATTCAATTTGTAAATATTTAATTTAACTAGACAAATCAATTTATACATTGAAGAGAAATCATCAAAGTCTTATTTGTTAAAGAATGAAAAAACTTATTTGAAGAACAAACGAAACATTAATTCAATATATTTTATCCTCATTTGCAGAAAAAAGAAGACTCAACTAAACTAAAAGTATTTTTCCGGAGATCGAAAGGATAAAGTCTAGAAACGAGAATTCATCTATGTATGTCTGCCTGTAACATAGTTACCATATGGTATCTCTGATACAAATGAATGCACAGGATAACAAAAAAAAGGCACCTACGCATTAGAATTCAAATTAACTCAAGAGACTTGATGCCAGCCGGATTGGAGCTAAATATTCTGAACAATGTCTGAATCTTGAGAGGAGACTTAAGGTTTTCTTTGATAATCTTTCATTACTTTCGGTTCAACTAATTAATTACGAAAAAATCGAGGTATTCTAGTCTGACAGAGCATGGAGAGTGAATGAAAGGCCTAAATTCAACCTGAGATGTGGTAAAAATGGTGTACATCCTATAAATACCTCACCTATTGGATTAGTCCATAACTGGCCAGGTCAATAATGATCAATAAATCCTTACTAAAAATTTGCCAAAGAGTTTACATGATAAACTTCTGTCGCATTTATAGAATGACATCTTCTGAGCTTCATAGGATGTTGTTCTCCTGATATATTCTCTCCATATTCACCTGGCTTTTCGCTATTTTCCTCCTTTTCTCTCAATGCCAACGTAGACAATTAGCGCATTTCTATTCTACTTGTGTAAAACGGGCTTTACATTGTCAGCACTAGCCAGATGAGTTCTTCGAGTTCATATTCAACGAATTCTTATTAGTTAATAGATATACGGGACATTGGAATAAATATTTTATAGGATTTGCTGAATCAAAAGATGAAGAATTGCTTGCAGAGCAACTTATCCGTAACTTACATAGAAATGAATGGCTACGGGAAAATTCAGAAACGTTCAGACTGTTCGTAGGACTAAACGATTCAACAATCATGTAACAGTTATCGAAAAATGCTTGTTTTAACCTGTGTATATATCACTAACGTATCTTGACCCCCGCCTGTTTCTTCACTCCTTTCATGGTGTTTAACCCGTCCTCGTCTTACTTCTTGATCCCCCTTATGCTCACTCTCTCACTTTTATGAATTCTATTATTTTCTTTAAATGCTCTCTTTCCTATATATAAATGTAAATTCTTCGTACTGACAAGTCTCATGTCAGGCATCGATTCTTCTTAGGCAGCGAAATAAAAAAAAGAGGCTTGATGAATGACAGTTGATAAACATTTGACAGTTTGAGAGATATATTTTGGGAAAATCATTCGTCAATAGCAGACATACAGTGTATACTCATCGAGAAATATCTCCTAAACGAATCCCATAAGCAAATATGCCGTAGTATACTGACTCTCCGTGTTAAAAAAAAAACAAGTTAAATCGGCTTTTCAGGAAGCAGTTTTGAGCTATAGGAAATCTAATTATATTATTCGATAGAGCTCGTCGAGTTGTACTTCGAACAAGAATAGTGATATTGGAACAAGTTCCTGGACGAATTCTAAAAGGAAATACTCGAGCCTATAGACAAGTTCACACATATCTAAGTTTTTCAAATATATCAATGAATAATCATTTGTATGCATAGAGTCCTAGTCTCGGAATAAAACCTATAGATTTCATTCTCATATTATTTTACTCATAGGAGAGAAAAACCTACTTAATCCGAGACTTCATGTTTTTGTTTTTTCTTTTCTATTTATTTAATATTGCATTTGAATGCATTACTCTCTTCGTCAGTTGTACCAAAAAGAAAAATCAGTATTCAAAGTTTAATCTACGATCTGCTAGTAATCACCAATGACGATATTATTTTGTCGTAGTCGAAGATTATAAACACTATTGAATCAAGCATAATGACATCATCAACATATATTAATCTTAGTGTTGTTTGCCAAATAATTAATATGGTTGATTTGATTTTCTTTCATTCTGTCAGTAGTTAATTTCTGAGTACATATAAAAGTGAATGTTGTTTTTGTTTCTTTCAATTCTTTAAGTATAATGCATACACTTTGTTGATCACATTTTATCGACGCTTACTCAATTTCAACTAAAAACTATAAAGAAAAAAAGTCACTCATTATCTAACGAAAAATATCTTTATTAACGAACAAAGAATAATGCCAAAAAAAGGTCGAACAAATATGAATTTGACTCCTAAGGGTAAACTTTTTTTTAAAGTAAATTATATTCAGCCTGTCATAGTTTTTTTAAAATATAATTCTAGAATGTGATATACTTACAGCAAATGCTAAACTTACTGAGCAAGGTAAAACAAATTTTACTAGTTATTGAAGTCTTCTATTTTGATTTATTTTTATAAAATAGAAATTCGAGAATGGCATACAGTATTTTGTATTAATTATATTTCTTCGAATGAACTATCCAAATGATCGATCGTTGGTTTTTTTTTTCATTTGCAGGATTTTCTTCGTCAATATCCATCAGGTACACTTGATAAAAAGACATTTATTGATTATTATCAGAAATTACATCCACATGATCAAGCAGATATAACGTAAGAATAATTATATAAAATTTTATTGAATTTTTTTTATTGATAATATTTAGAGAAATTTTTGATCGAATCAATATAAATGATGATGGTACAATTGATTTCAATGAACTTCTTGTATTAATTCCTATTAGAAAAAAATTAGGCAACTTAGAAGAAAGACTTACATTTGTATTTGATTTGTTAGTATTCATTAATTATTGATTGTCTTTTTTTTATTGTTTTTATTTAGATGGGATGATTCCGAACGATGGACAAATTTATCGAAAAGAACTAACTAATTTAATATCAGTTATGGTAAAATTTCTTTTGCATTTTGTTTTTCATTCGATAAAATTAGATTTTCTGTTCTTATAGTACTACCGTGCTGGTATAACTGATCAAAAAGGTGAATCGGATCCAAAAAAAAAAACGTGCTAAGGAAATCATTGCTAAACTAGACATTAGTGGTGATAAGAAATTAAGTAAACAAGAATTTGTTAATGGGTATGATTTTAAAAACAAATTATTTATCAATATTTTTATCATTTGTTTTCTCAGATGTATGAATGATCCAGTTATTTGTGATCTATTAGTTCCATGTTGTTAATAACAATTATACAATGTCTTTATTTATTGACAAACAACAAGCGAACATAACAAAATACACTTCGAGTTTTTTTTTTTTTGTAAACTTTTTTCATTATTATGAAACAAAACATCGAATCTGTCAATGAATTTAATTGACTATTATGTTAAATATTGATTAAAAAAAAATATTTTTTTCAATCTAAACTTTATTCGAGGATTTAAAGGAAAAAATGCAAGTGAAAGAGAAATGTATGATATTTTAATCTTTGTTGAATAATATAAGTTTCTAGAAAACTTTGTTCATAATCCTATCTAAAATAAAACCTCCACTAGTCAACGCTTGCTAAGTTTGAGGGAGCAATTTTTTGCTAGGAATGTCTCTCTCTAATGTGAACAAATTCTTATTCTTAACAATGAACATTTTTTAATGTTTTCCTTCTTGGATTATAATTAAAACTAATTGATATCGATAGTGATTCAAAAGTAAAAAGACAAAAAAATGACATCAAATCTTGTGTTGTAATTGAAAAACTTCCTAAGATTAATGTGGACCTAGATATTCGGGAAGAGTTTCTTCATTTCACGGTAAATTTCTAAACTGAACATGCCTTTATAGTGAACATTTTTAGCGGTCTTCATCATGTTTGCAATAGAGAAGTTTTACTATATTTGAAAGATCACAATCTAGATGGATCAAAAAAGGTTTCGACGGAAAAACAGACTTTCCAGTAATCAGTCTCTGGAGTTCTAGTTGCCAGTGATGTATTGATATTCGTAATTAGCACGGTTGATTACTTATAATCTACTAGGTGAAAAAAAACCGATTAGACAGTCTGGGACCTTCTCTTATCAGTCTTCGATCAACAAAGGATATTGATATAAGTAAAATCATTTTCTGGTTTATTGATCGCAGTACACTCATACTTTTCCTTAACCAATTATTTCATATTGTGCTTTATGTTCACTTTCCAATTAAATATGATTTTATTCTCATTATTAGGTAAAATAATATCTTGTTTAGATAACATCAATTACTGGTTTTTGTGTGTCTGACGAATATATTATTTGAATATCCGATGTTACACCGAATAAAACTTTGTCTTTTTCAGTTTCATGAAGATATTTAAATTCGAAACAATTTCCATTATATGAAAACATTTGACAAAAAAAAAATTTTCCAATAAAAATTACGAAAAAAGAAAATATAACGTTTTTAAAATTTCATTGAAGTCTCGTAGACTCTTTCATACAAAATCGACAGTGAAAATGGCAAAATTCCTTTCTTTTTAGTTGCCATACCACGACCGAATAAATTATAGTCACATGCAATTTCATCTTCTAGGTATATATCTTCTAATGGAATTAGCCATCGATCATTTATCTTCGGTCTGTTCGATATATTTTAGGTCTAAATAACAATTCGAATTATAACTTTAATTTATCAATGTTTCATATGGCATCAATTTACGTATGGATTTACACAAATACTTGAATAATGAATAGTATTTCATGTTAATATGAAACCTGAAACTTCATTACAAGTATATTTAAAAAGAAATTTCTTTTAAAATAGAATTTGTAATGATCGAAAAAAAAGCGTAGTGAAAGATATGTCAAATATGGTTATAAACATAACAGAAATTTGAAAAAAAATATCCTTTTTTACATAAAATTTCTAATTTGATTATTCATATATAGTTGAATGGTTCTTTACTTTGATACCATCTGCTAATATACGATGTATTTCTGATGGATAATAAATGATATCTATGTTATTATTAATATGGTTGATATAAGGCTTTTTCTTCCAAAAGTATTCCTTTGATCGTTAATTTGTAGAGAGAAGATTGATTTGAAAAATAAACTTCTGTCATTAAGATGAAATAGACTGGAGATTTTATTTAAATATTTGAAATTATACATATCTTGTATGTCTTATCGTTCTAGAAAACACCTTATCGTATCACTAATTCTTATCAGATGAAAACGACATACTCGACTTTTAGACTTTGTTCTTATGATTTGTATTGACGTCATACTGCTCAAGTGATTATCAATGAAAGATTCTATTATGCTTTAACGATCGAAAAATAAAACAAAAAGAACAAAAGAAAAAAACAACTGTAAATCACTATTCTTGCCTTATATCACGATGTATACTGTCAATATTTTAATGTCAATCGATTATAGTCGAAAGAAATATAAAAACAATAGACATGGCGATCAGGTCTCCACTAATGAGGAAACGTCTCCTAGTGTCAAATCGTTTTTTTGAACAAGACGGTATTCATTTGATGACTAAGAGAAAAATCTAGAATGGTTTAGTTTTGTGGGCCTTTCTTTTCAAGACGTCAATATTTAACTGGATCTTTCAACAAAAAATCGTGATCACATGAAAAATCGCCTTCGAACTTTGCATGAACAAAGTTCTTAATGAGATTAATTGATTGTGCAACAAGTATTTTCTTTTTCAAGATCTAAATATATGAACAAAATTTGCTTTTACACCTGAGAGAATTTCGAATATTCCAAATCTCAAGATAGGAAGGAGATACTAGAAAAGTTACAATTTTATTCAATAAACTAATCTAATTGAAAACTTTGTTCATGCATAGTTTCAAGTCAATTTTTGTTACGTAATCACAACTTTTTATTGAAAAATCCAGTTAAATTTTGATGTAAGATCTGGAAAACAAGATCATTCTAGACTTTTCTATTACTTATCAAATAAACATTGTCTTAGTCAAAAAGTGATTTGAGCCCTTAGACCAAATTCAAATTTTAGAAATCAGGAGTCTTTTATAAAAAATCAGGAGGCTTTTCTTTGAAGGTCAAAAGCCATTCGGTAGTTTTTATCTGATAAGATCCAAGTTTTCACTCTTATATGCACTTTTCTCGTTTTCAAATCAAGATGGTGACTAAAAAATTTTCTTATAGGTGAAATAAAATTAGGAAAGATTGATAATTTCATAAAGTTTATTTTAATAATTATTTCATAAGCAATTATAGTGCGGGTCAAAAGCCGGGTACCACTCTTTTGTTTTGAGTTGTGTATTAAAACTACACAACATTAATTTAATTTGTCTACATGTTTCTATATTAGCAAAGTATTCAAAAGACTTTTCATTTTATCAGACTCTGTAGAGATTTTTTCACTGGTCATTTTGATTAAAAAAAACATTTTGGATTTTATTGAGAAATGATGATGTTATAGCCAAAATATTAAACACTGAAATATCGAGTGTCCCAAAATGTTTGCAACATAGTTTGTTTTGCGAATACCTTTGCATAGATAAACGATAAAATCTTGATTTTTTTTCAAAAGATGTGCTGTCGAAAACTCTATAAAATCTGTAGAAATAATTTCTATTGCAAAACAAAAAGTACTTCAAGCATTTTATTATCATTTGTTGTATTTTATATTCAAGGACTTTTCGTATTATATAGATATATACATAGGTAGTACTAGACCTCTACTATACAGGCATATAGACAAATTAAATTAATATTGTGTAGTTGTAATATACCACTCAAGACAAAAAACTAGTATCGAACTTTTGACTTCCAGTGTATTAGAATACATAAAAAATACAAAATCAAAGCTAACATATCAAATATTTAAAATGAAAACATAAAAGTAAAACAATGTATAACCAATTTACTAAACTATTCGTGGGACTTTTGCAATATGACTATACTTATCTGACGATCGAATCTGTTTAAAAAAATCTCGTTTATTTAAAAGATAATTATAATACTGTGTACAGCTATAATGTGTATTCATTTTAATCTCTAATTCAACTCCAACTAAATCCTGTTTGATTCGATTTCAATTATTATTCCAAAAATATTTCATATGACTAAAAGCTAGTTCACGACGAAAGGCAATGTATATCCTTATTGATGATTATATCCATTAAACACTCCGATAGATCTCTTCTCTCTTTCAAGTCTCTATTGGGTCAAGGTATTTCTAATCGTCATGCAAAAAAAAAAACCTGAAAACAGGAGAAAATCATAAAAATCAGTTCCTGAATTTAGAAGATTTTCTATCAGGAGAAAAGTAAGAAAATCAGGAGGTTTGGTAAGCCTGCTAATGGTTAGAATAACTTCTGTGTTTTGTAACGGTTGAACTATGTTGTGAGTAAAATCAATAAAAGGTTGTCATTGTTGAGAATAATATATTAAAAGAAAAATATTTTATTGATCAAAAGATTCTTTTTTTTTTATTAAGGCAAAAAAAAAACAAAAGAACTAAGTAAGATTAATCATAGAAAAAGGTTTATACGAATCTTTTAAATAGATAGCGAAATACACAATTTTAATTCAAGGAGAGAAAAAAAAGAGAAATATTAGCACTTTAATCACAGTCAATTTGTTCAAAAAAGTTTTTATTTTAATCGACATTAATTAGTTTGATGTTGACGTGCAAGAAAATATTTCTAAAAATAAAAATTTTATTAAACTAAAATACAGAAAAGAAATAAACGTACTGGTATATCCATATGAAAACGATGAGTATTAAAATAATCATGTCCCCTGTAGAATGATCCAAAACTTTCTGTGAAAAATAAAACGATTATTAAAAAAAGAAAAAGTTAATATATTTCGTATCATAAATTCTACTTTGAATTAAAAAGAACTGATTGATCAGTAACAACTGATGGATGAGTAACTAAAATTGAATGATCATCAAATTTTTCACTTGTTGGAATCTTAAATGTAGCCATTTGAATTTCTGTATCAGTCAAACCTGCATGAATAATTCGAGCATAACCAATACTAAAATTCATTTTTTCCTCGTAATAAAAATTCAAATAAAAAATATCAAATTTACCGAATTAAATTTTTACAGAGACCGTGACAGAGGAACTCCAGAGACTGGCACAGACCGTGACAGAGAAGCTCCAAACCCATCGCAGACCGTGACAAAGAGACTCCAGAGGCCATCACAGACCGTGACAGAGAACCTCCAGACATTACCACATTTCGTGACAGAGAATATCCAAATCCTTCACAGACTGTTACACAGAAACTGTAGTTTTGAAAGATCAGAAAAAAACGATAAGCTAGAAATCTATTGTAAAGAAACGGAAGAAAACGAAGTCCATTTAATTAGTAACAGTAGATCCATCGTGTTTCACATTTTTAATCCCGCAAGGGATTGCGCTAACAGCTTTTTGATATAGATGCAGACAAAACTTCAAACACAAACAACTAATGAGAATAACCAATTTAAAATAAATTTGAACATTTTAGGAGGAGGAACTTCGAAAAATCACATTCAATCATTCCAGAGAGAAAGTCCCAAATAGTCAAAAAGTGATAACGTGATCCTTGAACTGCCCCTTACACAAATATCCTTCGCGAGTTTTCTTTTTTTTTTCTTTCTTTTACTTACTTGACGTACGCAAAGAAATGGTCATTTTCTGTTGGAATGATCTCGAGAACGAAAAGCTACAAAACACTCGTTCAAACGTGAACCACAAGTATCGAGATCCAACTCGTACCATTTTTAGTCAGACCATCTATAGAACCTATCGTTCGTCTACAATTGGACTTCGAAAACCACGATTTTGACAAAGTTTACTATTGAGATAATTGGTAACGATCGAATCTTTTTTAGAAAAAAAAAGGTGATTTATTGTTCTTATTTATGTAGGTCTTTTATTAAATGCATTAAAACAAGAATAAATATGTTTTTCTTCTTTTCATTTTGTCTCTATATGAAACTATATTTGTAGATTTAGTCATATAGAGTGTTTTGGTTTTTTTTTGGTTGGAATTTGCAAATGACAAAAAAGGAAAAATCTAAACAAATGGCTAAACCAGTCGATCCAAATAAAGAAGATCAATATGCAACAGCTATATTAAATCGTAATGAACGTCCAAATCATTTAATTATTGATAATGCTATTAATGATGATAATAGTGTTGTTACATTATCACAACAAAAAATGAATGAATTACAATTATTTCGTGGTGATACGGTTTTACTTAAAGGCAAAAAATGTCATGAAACAATATGTATTGTTCTTGCTGATGATACATGTCAAAATGATCGTATACGAATGGATCGTGTTGTACGAAATAATTTACGCGTACATTCAAGTGATATTGTTTCAATTCAAGGTTTAAAAGATGTTCAACGTGGTAAACATATATCTGTTTTACCTATTGATGATACTGTACAAGGAATAACAGGCAATCTATTGAAAGTTTATTTAAAACCATATTTTGCTGAAGCTGATCGACCAGTACGTGAAGGTGATGTTTTTAGTGTACATGCAGCTATGCATGCTGTAGAATTTAAAGTAATTGTAACTGAACCAAGTCCGTATTGTATTGTTACATCACGTACAATTATTCATTGTGATGGTGATCCCATTAAACGTGAAGAAGAAGAAATATCTTTAAATGAAATTGGTTATGATGATATTGGTGGTATTAGAAAACAATTAGTACAAATTAAAGAAATGGTTGAATTACCATTGAAACATCCACAATTATTTAAAACAATTGGAGCTAAGCCACCACGAAATATTCTTTTATATGGACCACCAGGCACAGGTATGATAAAAATAATAGAAATATTTTTAGAAAAAAAAAAAAAGAATTATTTTAGGTAAAAATTTAATTGCACGTGCAGTGGCTAATGAGATTGGTGCATTTTTCTTTTTAATCAATGGACTGGAAATTGTGTCTAAATCAGCTGGTGAATCTGAATCTAATTTACGTAAAAAATTTGAAGAAGCTGAAATGGTAAAATTTTATTAGTGAAAATTCCAGGAATAGTTCGAAGGTGACAGATTCGAACATTCATATAACGTGTCCAATAGATAGTCATCCGACATTTTGAGATTAGTTCCATTATAGACGTTAAATTTTCACTCAGATATTTTTTAATTATAATTGTATATTTATGCTTAGAAATCTCCAGCTATTATTTTTATTGATAAGCTTGATGCAATTGCAGCAGAACGTGAAAAAACTCATGGTGAAGTTGAACGTCCTATAGTTTGACAATTATTAACATTAATAGATGGTCTTAAACAACGTTCAAATGTGATTGTTATGGCAGCAACAAGACAACGAAATTTGATTGATCCCGCAGTTCGTCATTTTGGTTGTTTCGATCGAGAAATCGATATTGGTATTCCTAATGCTGTTGATCGTTTAGAAATTCTTCGTATACATACAAAAAATATGAAATTAGATGGTAATGTTAATCTTGAACAAATTAGTAATGAAACACATGGCTGTGTTGGTGCAGATTTAGCATCATTATGTTCAGAAGCTGCTTTACAACAAATTCGAGAGAAAAAGCATGTTATTGATTTAGAAGAACATACGATTAATGCTGAAGCACTCAATTCATTAGTTATTACACAAGAGAATTTTCGATTTGCATTAAATCAATCAAATGCATCAGCTTTACGTGAAATAGTTGTTGAAGTACCAACAACAACATGGGAAGATATTGGCTGTTCAAACGGTGTTAAACTTGGTTTACAACAAATAGTTAAATATCCTTTTCAACATCCAGGAGAATTTCTCAAATTTGATACGACACCACCACGTGGTGTTCTCTTATATGGACCACCTGGTTATGGTGAGTGATTAGAATTATAATTATTTTAAAATTTATCTTTTGATATTTGATTTTAGGTAAAACATTAGTAGCCAAAGCTATTGCTAATGAATGTCAAGCTAATTTTATTTCGATAAAAGTTTCTGAATTATTAAGTATATGGTTTAATGAACCAGAAGCTTATGTCCATGATGTATTTGATAAGGCTCGTCAAGCAGCACGATGTATACTCTTTATTGATGAATTAGGTTTACTTGGTAAGATGAAAAGAAAACTAATGAAGAGTATTTTTGTTTTCTTTTTAGCTAAAGATCGTGGCGGGAGCGCTGGATATGATAGTGGTGCAATTCAACGTATTATTAATCAAATTTTAATTGAAATGGATGGTATGAGTGCAAAGAAAAGTGTTTTTTTTATTGGTTCCACTAGTCGATCGGATATTCTTGATTTAGAGTTTTTCAAAACAGGTAAAGATATTAATGGACAATGGATTTTTATAACTTTTTGTTATTTATTTAGGTCGTCTCGACTACCAATATTATATTCCATTACCAAATGAAGAATCACGTCTAGTAATTCTTAAAACTGGTTTATGCAAAACACTGTTGGCTGAAGATATAAATCTGAAGTACTTGGTCGAAAAAACCGACAATTTAACTGGTGCTATTATTAATGGAATATGTCGTGAAGTAAAACGATTGGCAGCAAGAGAATTTATTGAAAGAAGAGGTACAGCGAATTTAATTCCAGAACCACAAATTCGTCGTGGCCATTTTTATCCAATAATCCAATACAACTCCAAGGTTTATCTCAGATGCTGAGATAAAAGAATTTGAAACATATCTTATGCGGCTCCATCAATTAAAGTATTATAAGTAACAGTTTTTTGTATTGATGGTGCATTTTATTTTTTTATTTTTTTTAAATAAATATTAAAAAACAAACAATTGTCTTATTAATTTCAATCTGAATTAAAGAGAGGTCTTTTTTCATTGTTAATTGATGAATTTTCATAAACAGGTTTAATATTTGAATTTGTTGAAATATGATTTTGTCTAATATATCGACATACTTGATGACCACAACCATGAACTTCAGGCATTGAATGTTCAAAACAATATCGACGATTACAATATGAACAAAATTATCCTAATAAAATTATTTTTATTTTACATTTTTGAGCATTACAAATATTATCTTGTTGATGATCTGCTTCTAATAAATCATCAATTGGTGCATTTGAATCCATTAATGATAATTTATTTGCTTTTTTCTTAACAGTTTTTGGATGTTCTGAAGCAATATTTAGTTTAGGAGAATTTTTTTCCTAAAATTAAAAATAATCTTAATAATAATTGATTTGAAAGAAAAGTTTGATTTACAGAAGTTTGATTAGTTGAAATTGATAATGAAGATAATGGATTAACACGTTGACAATATAATTCATATAATTGAAGATTTTGTGATGGAATATCTTTATGACAATATCGACAAAGATTTGTTTTATCAACTATTGGAGATAATTCAATCTAATAAAATATTCATTTAAATAAAAATACAAAATTAAAAAAAGACTTTTTATTTTACCTTTTCCTCATTATTATCTGTTACGATTGAATCTTGATCAGAAATGATTATTGATGATATTTTAGATTTTTCAATCTTTTCTATCGAATCCTTTTTTTTCTTCTTCTAACAGAAAATGAACAAAATTTTTTATTGATATTTTCTTCTTCTTCTTCATTTGTAATCATTTTCATTTCAATTGGAATATTTTTTCTAATAATAATATGTCTTTGATGATCAAGATCTTCATTAATATGTTGTAAATTATGTTTTTCAGCAAACTAAGTAAGAATATTTGAATAGAAAGATTCTTGAAAAGCTTAATTATTCACAAACATACTTGATGTACATAACGTCTATAAAATGGTGATAAATCATCTTCAAATTATAATTCTTGTAAATCTTGATTATTCAAAAACACTTTCAATATGTTGATCAAGAATATTAGTTAAAACATTTTCAAGTGTATTTGTTGCTTCAGAACATTCAGTTTTTTGTTCTCTAAAATAAAAATATTATATTAAACAAATTATTTATTTTTCATTCATTTCTTTTTTTACTTGACTTTTTTTGATTTTTGTTTTATTTGTTTTGATTTAAAAGATTTTGTTGATTTTTTTTGGTAAAGTTGATCCTTGAAAAAAATTATTTTCTAAAAATAAAAAAATAAAATGAAAATTTAAAATAAAGATAAAAAAATAATAAAAACCATCAATAAATTCAAATGCTGAATGAACTTGTCCATGTTGAATCATATAATCAATTAATCTTTTAATAAATGGATCATGAGTAACTGTTTGTGCATTACAAAAAATCCATAAATGTCTATGTGCACGTCTTATAGCAACATTTATTCGACGACTATCTGATAAAAATCCAACTTCACCTAAAAATGAAAAAGATCTCGTTTTTTGTAAAAATAAAAATAAAAGTAAATAACCATATAAATTTGATCTAACCATTGAAATAATAATAATATCTTTTTCTCTTCCTTGGAATCTATCAACAGATTTAATTTCTAAATTTGGATATTTATTTAAAAGTTTTTCTCTTAATAATTGTACTTGTAAATAATATAGTGTTATTATACCAATTTGATCAATTGATAGAGAATAATTTTCAATTAATTCATTTATACGAATATTAACAAGTTCAACTTCACCTTCATTTCCACGTGAATTTTCATCATCAAAATAAATTTCTTTCATATCATAACCATTTGTATCAATTAAAAATAATGAACATTCAGATAAATTTTCATCATCATTTTCTTTCTTGGAAATATTTTTTAAATCTTTTAATAAATGATTTTTAACTGATTTATCAGCAATTAATTTTCCTTCATAAAATTTATTTGATGACCAATTCATTCATTCGATATTGAATTATTAACATACGAATTATCTATTTTATAATTAAATCTTTTTTTTTTCTTCATTAAAAACTCTTCAAAATATTCTCTTGGATTTTTAAAATGATCTATATGTTTATATTATATCGTATCGAAATTATACCGACTGACGATATTATTTCAGATTAATTAAATATCAATTTAAAAAACATGCAAATCATTTTTATTAGTAAAAAGAAAAGAAACTAAAGATAGTTAAATAGTGTACATGATTATAGATCTATTCAAACAACACTAAGCTTTTTAGCTAATAAAATAGATTCCTAGAATCCTACATTATGATCTATACAATATTTAAATGTTTAGTCAGAACAACTTTCATCATTTATCTTATTCCGTAACTTGTTGGATTTTTCATAAATCATTGTGTTCATTTTGATATAAAATATGAAGATTAGTATTGTAGACAAGGTGGATGTCCAGTTAATAGTAAAAGCAAAAATGAAATCAATGTGATATAACTAACTGCGGATACATAATAGCTTGATGGATCAATAATGCTAAATGAGATAAATATGAAAAATGTAGTCATGAAAATTTTTTGTTTGTCTCAGTGTGTTTTGGAGCCTGGTATCTTTCAATCTGTTCTTGTATTTGTTATTTTTTTAATCAGTATAGGACTAAGATGTTATTCATATCAGAGTAGAGAGATTTTACTGAAGTTTCAGCCTTATAGTACTGTATGGACTAAAGAATCGAATGAGCCATATTTCGAGCTGATATTTTGTCCACAAATAAGCTTACTAGTAAATAGAATGTCCTGAAAATTTCAGAC